CCCAACTGTCATTTGTCATTTCCATGCAGATGGTCCATCCCTGCACAATTTTCTCTGAAGGCTGTGATCCTTCCTGGTTCAGTTCTTTGTGGCCAGGCCATTTTTTTTTCCCCCTGTGGCCAGGCATCTTACAGACTATTCTGAATCATAACCCAATTACCCTACAAAGAAAAGGGAAGCCCAGCATTTTGGTAAAAAGTACAAGGATGTCATTTCCCTCAAAGAGTGGGAAAATTCTGTATCTTGGTTTTGCATCCTTATCTCCTATTCTGAAGCTGCCCTTTGATCTGATATCTACAACATCCGATTTTCTACTCTTCTTGTTGAGAAATCCCGGACATGGCACTAAAACCCACGTTTGAACCCATGTTTATAAACCCAAGGCATTAAGACAGACACTAAACCCATGTCTCTAAAGGAGGAACAAGCCATGCAGAAAATATAGTCAGTCTGAGAATGAACAGAGGAGGATATTCTACGAACCAACAATTCAGCTCCCGGAAATACCATGTTTCTCTATATGATCTGGACAGGCCATGAAGGAGAGGGGATGTAGAAAATAAAATTGATCTTATCCCAGCAAGACAACCACAGACATCACCTGGATAATGACAGCTGCTTGTGGGGTTCACCTTTGTCCCTACACCCATAAGAGTTCCATTCTGCTTGGGAGCCCACAGGAGGTTGGTAAGATCCTTCTCATGGAAAGTCCCACAAGCACATTCTACCACTCTCCACTCCCAGGACATGGCTAGATGTAGGGGAGACCACTCTGCACCGAGAGACCAGGATCCCCTCAACTTCCTTCAACAAGCCCTGCACATCTGCCCTTCGGGCTTCCACCATGATCTCCTGAGGAGACCCCGCCCTTGACCTGACCATGTTTTATATCACCACTTCACATCTGCCTTCAAATCGCTTACCAGAAATTGTAGCACTTTTGCGCTTTGTTTTCCTGTGGTGAAGACTCAACCTGACATAAAAGGAGGTCTGGCCTCTGACCCTGGCTCCTAGGAGGTGATGTCCAGACCATGACATGACCAGTCCTGTCTTTGTTTGCCTGGAGGCTTTGGTCACTTGACCATTTAGTGGTTTATGAGGAAGCTTTTGGGACATGCTTTATTAGTTGCAACCTCTGAGAGGGGATGAAGACTAAAGGTATTATCCTGCACCTCCAGAAGGAGGTGGAGATAAAGTTAACCACAAGGAAATTATGTCATTAAGTATCAGTAAAAACCGGACAGCAAGGCTCAATGAGCTTCTTTGGTTTGCAATATTCCATGCATCTTGTCACACATGGACACTGGGAAAACTGGATGAATGGGTGGATGGATGGATGGACGGACAGATGGACGGACAGATGGATGGATGAGTTGGTGGATGGATGGATGGGT